GGAGGGCTGCCAGGAAGAGCAGGAGCCCTTAAGGCCTACCCCTCCGGCTCATCCCTGAGGTACTGGAGAGCTCCCACTCCTGCTTCAGGCACCATCCCAGGGTAGGTGGGAGGTTGGGTGGGGAGGAGGAAGGAGGGGGAATAGGGTATCTCCTCCCCAGAAGTCCCTCAGGGAATACTTTAAACATTTTTCGACTGACTTGGCTTTGTAGTTAGGTAAAGGAACTGAGCACTGTGGGAAAGGGGAACTGTGGGAAGCAGGGCCGCTCCTCCCCGCCCTTGGGCCCCCACAGTTCCGCCACCTCTCCTGTCACTGAACGCTCATTGTCTGTCCTGTCTTAGTCTCCCCCACCAGACCGTGAGGGTCCCGGGAACAGGCGCTCTGTCTGATTCACCTCCTTCTGCCTCACAATGTGGCCCAGCGTGGGGCTTGACACTTGGAAGTTTCTCAAAGAGTTGCTTGTTGAATGAAAGAACAAATGAACGCTTTCTCCCGACTGCCCCAACCTTAAATGAGATTTACAAGGGAGGAAAAGCCTGCCTAGTTTCCAGCTTCTTACTCCCCTTGCTGACAATCACTGTGTCCCAGACCTCAAGGAGACAGGGAACACCTAAAGTTTGCTTATCTGTCCCTATCCATTTCCTGGTGATAGGAGTCTAGTCCTTCACCAGATTTTCATTGGCACATATGGGGAAGAGAACCATGATTTAAGAGAGCAGTTCCAGGATAAAGATTTTATATTCATTTTCTTACTTTGGTTTTCCTGAACCAAATTGGTTTCCTCTCCACACCCCTGTTCTTCCTGTACGTAATCTGTAATCTGTGAAGTTGGTAATTTTGTAGTATCAGTGCTTCCAGCTCACCTGACAAAGTGGTGACAAGATGCTATCACCTTTGAATTCTCCCAGCACCTTCCTGTTAGTGCCACTGCCTAGGCACCCTGATGATTTCTCCCATAGGCTTTGCTCTGCCTCCTCGGTTCTGCAGGTGTGAAGACAGGAGGACTGGGTTGTGACCTCACCAGCAAAGGCAGAAGCAGGAAAGCCTCTGGGATATCCTGCTACCTGATCCAATTCTCCTAGCACATTCAGCAGGCTCCCCTCCCCTCTGCACACAATGGAAGGAAAGAGGAAGTGGGAAAAAAATAAGTCAAGTAATTGAAGTGGAAGGGGGCTAATTACTAGGAAGGCAGAGCTCCAAGTAGGGAGGATTAAAGAAAGCACGGGAGGACAAAGAAGCAAGAAAGACACCAATGCTGAATTGGACAGGCCCTGGAGAAAACTGGGATTGGCAGCAATAACTAGGCTGAGGCAGGGTCAGGAGAGAAAACTGCAAGCCTACTTGGGCTTCTTAGCAGGGCTGAGGCCTGGTATGGATGGAGCCTCTCACAGCGGGCAGGATGAGTCAGCCTCAGAGCACCCAAGTTTAGGATATTAGAGCCACCAGGAGGGTGTTCTGCAAACGCCTGTCCAGTGGAGGGCTTGCTCAGGATTGCAGAGTACAGTCCTCGCTTGAACCAGACAACTGAGGAGACCCCAGGCCTTGAAGGAAAGGTGAATTTACACGGAAACTGAGCATGAAGTGCTGATCTCTTTTATTTTTTAAATTATATTTATTGCATTTGAAATAATACAGACATGAAGTGCTGATTTAAACTCAGGCCCCATACAAGAGTCTGAGTTCAATCCTGGTTCCAGAAAAAAACAAAACAAAACAAAACCTCCTCCCACAATATGACGATATCAAACTATATACACAGAGTGCACAAACATCCGTTTCCTGGTTTTGGCATTATCCTATAATTATGAGAGACATAGTTGCCAGGGGAAAGTGGAGGAAAGGTACACTGGAACTTTAGTTTTGCTTCTGAGACTCTATAAATATTTCTAGCCCCTCAGAAAAAGTTTCAGCACTACACTTACAGAAACTTATTTGTGGGACTTACTATAAGATGGTGGAGTGGTAAACAGCAGAGAAACTGCCCCTGAGATTTGGTGTCCAGATGCTGGAATATAGCAATGTAAGAAAGAGAAGGAGGGAAGTGGGCTCCCAGGACCCAGAAAGGATCTGAAGCAAGAACTAAAGCCCAAGGGGAGAGTGAAGAGAGACTTCAGTGAAGAAGGTGGTGGCAAGCGCTGCCTTCTCCCTGAACCCTGAGTCCCTGCAGAAAGGGCTGCCTGCACCCGCAGACATGCACAGTGACTACTGGAGACCCCACTGGACTGGGATGCACATCAGTGCATTGCAGCAGTGGACACAGTGAACTGCAGTGAGTTATTCAGGTTTAGACATGCCCTAGGAGAGGGGCATATGGGCCTAGAGCAATCTTGGAGAGTGGCCAACTGAACTTGGAACTCACACCAACTTCTGGCTCCAACTAGCAGCTCCTAAGGTCAGGACCAGGTAGAACTGAGTTCACGTTGGCAGGAGATCACGGAGCTGAGTTTAAGCCAGCAGGAGGTACAAGGAATGTTGCAGGCTTTATATATTGGGTTGTAAGCCAGGCATGGTGGCACACACCTGTGTTCCCAGCACTTGTGGAAGGTGAGGCAGGAAGGATGGTTGCAAGTTCGAAGGCAAGCCTGGGCTATAAAGTGAGCTCAAGGCCACCCTGAACTGCATAGCAAGACCCTATCTCAAAAAGACTAACTAACTAACTAACTTGGTTCCAGCCTGATAGCCAGAAACCAGCCTGAACTTCAGTGACACTAAAGGTGCAAGCTTGCTGGGATTATCTACTACTCCACTATAATTCTACTGCAGACTTGCTGGGATTAACATGGATCTGGGCTCAGCAATGTTTCTTTTTCTTTTTCTTTTTTTTAAAATTTTATTTATTTATGTGTGTGTGTGTGTGTGTGTGTGTGTGGCCAGCTCAGCCCACCAGGGGGTGGGGCTGGCTGGCATGTGGTGCTGGGGGATTGAACCGCGGTCCAGGTGCTTTGCTAAGCTTGTTCTAAGTATGTGCTTTAGACCACTGAGCCATCTCACCAGCCCCGGCTCTGCAATGTTTCTACAAGTGACAGCAGAGACACACCTTGAAGAGGACATTTTCTTATTTTCTTGTTGTCTTTTTCCTGATTGCTTTTTCTTTTAAAAAATACGAATGTGAACATTCCTTCTGCTGTTGTTTATATTTTTTTCTTTTCTCTTCCTCAGCCGTTTCCTTTACCAGTTTTACAAAGTTTATACAATCTTCCTTTGTCCTCCAGCCTGGCTCCTAATCTTTTCTTTGTCTATTTCTCTATTCTTCCTCCTAACCACTGTTATATTTTCTACCCTGAAGGTAGAATTGCCACATTGAGGGCATAGTTACTGTATACAATTTTCTGTTTTGTTTAAGATTTTTTTTTTTCCATATTTAGGACAGGGTTTACAGAGTCTACAGGGTCTATAGGGTCTCATTACGTAGAACGGAGTCATAGTGATTCTCCTGGTTTCAGCTTCCCAAGTGCTGAGATTACAGGCATGCACCACCACGCCCAGTCTCAATCGCCATCTCAGGGTGCCCCAAGGCAAGAATGGCATGGCCTACTAGGGATTGAACTCTGGCCGCTGCTCTCTGCCTAAGCAGGTGCTTTAGTCCACTGAGCTATCATGCCAGCCCTGTTTTAGATTTTTTTTTAAATAACCACAAATACAGTTCCTATGGTTAAAGGTAGCAAATGAATAGTTACTACAGTTTGACATTTCCTAGGCTGTATTTGGTATTATTGTTATTACTGATTTTACTATTTTATCCAAGGTAATATAATTGTTCTAATCAGTTGTTCTTTGTGGTATGCTAAGACTGTGATTGCCTAAGGGTCATAAACAATTCTATAGGCCAGTAGCAAAGAAGCAGGGGCTAGGCCAAATAGGAAGCGACTTCTCATCCTCAATTTTTTTTTTTTTTTTTTTTTTTTTTTTTTTTTTTTGTATTTTAGGTCAGGGTCGACAGGGTCTATAGGGTCTCACTATGTAGACTGGACTCCTAGTGACCTGCCTGTGTTCAGCCTCCCAAGCACTGGGATTAGAGGCACGCACCACCACACCCAGTCTCAATCTCATCTCAGCGAACCCAGGGGCAGGGCTGCATGCTGGGGATCAAACCCAGGCACTGAGTCTGCCTAAGCAGGCATCTTAATCTGATGAGCTATTTGGCCAGCCCTTCACCCCCAGTGAATGAAAGATGCATGATATTGCGAAAGAATCAAAGCCCAAAAGCCAGCTACACTTGCAATATGACTCTGAATAGTCATTTCCTAATGGTTCTAAATACTAGTAATAAAGCTACTTGCCATAAATAATCTAAAAGCATCAACCCAGGAATTAAACTAAAAATGAAATAGAAGGGGATAAAATATATTTTATGGCTTATGTTTAGATGTCCCCTTGAAGCCTCATGCGGTTGTAGGTGGAGCTTTTTCGTGATCATGGTATCTCACCTGTCAGGTTAGTATGTGGAGCTTTTTCAATATGTGATTGATTAATGTTAAAATTCCAGAATTAAGGGTGTATGGTTACAAAGTCAGTCACTGATTGGATTGTCACTGCTCTAAGCCTAGATAGATTATAAAAGGGGCAGAAAGTTGCTTATAAGGTCCGTTATTACTCTTGCTTTCTTCTACCACCATGATGCCCCCTGCCACGTGATACCTTGCCTAGGACCAAGCCAATTATGGACTGAAACCTCTACAAACTGTGAACTAAAGAAACCTTTCCATGCTTAACTTTGAACTTGGAGTATTTTGTCTCAGCAACAAGAAAAGTAACACAACACTTAAGCAAGATGTAACCACGGGGGGCTGGTGAGATGGCTCAGTGGTCTAAAGCACCTACTTAGAACAAGCTTAGCAAAGCACAGGGACCACAGTTCAATCCCCCAGCACCACATGCCAGCCAGCCCCGCCCCCTGGTGGGCTGAGCTGGCCACATACACACACACACACACACAAATAAATTAATTTTTTAAAAAAAGATGTAACCACGGTATTAGCTCACCAAAGACGAACAGAGGAGTGCTCGCTTTAGCAGCACATATACTAAAATTGGAATGATACACAGATTAGCATGGTCCCTGCACAAGGATGATGCACAAATTCATGAAGTGTTCTATATTTAAAAGAAGAAAAGAGACATGGGAAGCAGAGGCAGGAGGATTGCTCGCAAGTTGGAGGTCATCCTGGGCTAGAAAAGTCTCAGAGTGAGACTGCCCGGGGCCTGCAGATCCTGAATAGACCCAGAGCCCAGGCCTGGTGTGTGAATAAGACTGCCTGGGGCCCACTGGATCCTCATTCAACCCAGAGTGCAGGCCCAGCAGGGAACCCTTCAGCAGAACTCCCTGAAAGATGCTAGAGGCAAGACCCACCCAGCTGATTCAGGAGCAGAACATCTTGCCAGAGTGACACAAAGGGTTCAACTCCAAGGGCTGTAGCAGGAAGCAGTGGAGCACAGCAGCCAGACTCCAGCCAGATCCAAGCAACGCCCACCTGAAGGAATCTGAACTTCATAGATCCGGACCTGATGCTAAGGTAATAACTCTATCTAAGCTCTACACCAAAGGTCAGAAGACAGGTATACAAAATGACAAAGAGAAGGAACAAAATGCAGTCTCAGGCCCCGAGTCCACCCAGTGCAACTGCAGAAGACACTAGCACTGAAGAAACTGGAAATCACACACCAGATATCTCTGAAATCATAGCGTTGGAAGTAAAGAAACAACTGCAAAAAAGTATAGAAGAAATCAGATCAGAAATAATTTCTGAACTAAAAAAAGTAGTGATAACTATAATCAAGGAAGTACTAAGTGCTTCTAAAGACTGCACTGATAAAAAAATAGAG